AGTGGGTACATGCTACCTGGATAGTGACAGTGGGTACACGCCACCTGGATAGTGACAGTGGGTACATGCTACCTGGATAGTGACAGTGGGTACACGCCACCTGGATAGTGACCGTGGGTACACGCCACCTGGATAGTGACAGTGGGTACACAGGACCTGGATAGTGACAGTGGGTAAATGGCAATAGTGTACACGCCGATAGTGTACAAGCCAATAGTGACAGTGGGTACACCCCAATAGTGTACATGTGGACAGTGACATGGGTACATAACGACAGTGACAGTGGGTACATGCCACCTGGATAGTGACAGTGGGTACACGCCACCTGGATAGTGACCGTGGGTACACACCACCTGGATAGTGACCGTGGGTACACACCACCTGGATGGTGACAGTGGGTAAATGGCAATAGTGTACATGCCGATAGTGTACAAGCCAATAGTGACAGTGGGTACACCCCAATAGTGTACATGTGGACAGTGACATGGGTACATAACGACAGTGACAGTGGGTACATGCCACCTGGATAGTGACAGTGGGTACACGCCACCTGGATAGTGACAGTGGGTACACGCCACCTGGATAGTGACAGTGGGTACATGCCACCTGGATAGTGACAGTGGGTACACGCCACCTGGATAGTGACAGTGGGTACATGCTACCTGGATAGTGATAGTGGGTACACGCCACCTGGATAGTGACCGTGGGTACACGCCACCTGGATAGTGACAGTGGGTACACAGGACCTGGATAGTGACAGTGGGTACATACCACCTGGATAGTGACAGTGGGTAAATGGCAATAGTGTACACGCCGATAGTGACAGTGGGTACAAGCCGATAGTGTACAAGCCAATAGTGACAGTGGGTACACCCCAATAGTGTACATGTGGACAGTGACATGGGTACACGCAACCTGGATAGTGACAGTGGGTACACGCCACCTGGATTGTGACAGTGGGTACACGCCACCTGGATAGTGACAGTGGGTACATGCTACCTGGATAGTGATAGTGGGTACACGCCACCTGGATAGTGACCGTGGGTACACGCCACCTGGATAGTGACAGTGGGTACACAGGACCTGGATAGTGACAGTGGGTAAATGGCAATAGTGTACACGCCGATAGTGTACAAGCCAATAGTGACAGTGGGTACACCCCAATAGTGTACATGTGGACAGTGACATGGGTACATAACGACAGTGACAGTGGGTACATGCCACCTGGATAGTGACAGTGGGTACACGCCACCTGGATTGTGACAGTGGGTACACGCCACCTGGATAGTGACAGTGGGTACATGCTACCTGGATAGTGATAGTGGGTACACGCCACCTGGATAGTGACCGTGGGTGCCGCATGCCTGGATAATGACAGTGGGTACCTGGGACCTGCGGATAGTGACAGTGGGTAAATGGCAATGGTGTACCGCGCTTGATAGTGTACAAGCCAATAGTGACAGTGGGTACACCCCAATAGTGTACATGTGGACAGTGACATGGGTACATAACGACAGTGACAGTGGGTACATGCCACCTGGATAGTGACAGTGGGTACACGCCACCTGGATAGTGACCGTGGGTACACACCACCTGGATAGTGACCGTGGGTACACACCACCTGGATGGTGACAGTGGGTAAATGGCAATAGTGTACACGCCGATAGTGTACAAGCCAATAGTGACAGTGGGTACACCCCAATAGTGTACATGTGGACAGTGACATGGGTACATAACGACAGTGACAGTGGGTACATGCCACCTGGATAGTGACAGTGGGTACACGCCACCTGGATAGTGACAGTGGGTACACGCCACCTGGATAGTGACAGTGGGTACATGCTACCTGGATAGTGACAGTGGGTACACGCCACCTGGATAGTGACAGTGGGTACATGCTACCTGGATAGTGATAGTGGGTACACGCCACCTGGATAGTGACCGTGGGTACACGCCACCTGGATAGTGACAGTGGGTACACAGGACCTGGATAGTGACAGTGGGTACATACCACCTGGATAGTGACAGTGGGTAAATGGCAATAGTGTACACGCCGATAGTGACAGTGGGTACAAGCCGATAGTGTACAAGCCAATAGTGACAGTGGGTACACCCCAATAGTGTACATGTGGACAGTGACATGGGTACACGCAACCTGGATAGTGACAGTGGGTACATGCTACCTGGATAGTGACAGTGGGTACACGCCACCTGGATAGTGACAGTGGGTACACGCCAATAGTGACAATGGGTTGGTTCCCAATACTACCAGTTAATCCCTCAGGATTGTGAATTTGCACACAGTAGAAGTGCTGGCTGATGAGCCGTGTCTTTTACTACAGTCGGTGAAATAAAGTATATAAACAGGCCCCTGCAGCCCGGCAGTAATGGACCACGAGGAATAGTTGGGACATCTCTCCATGCCACACAGAAGTATCATTAACTCACCCTCACGAAATGTGGTTTGTGCTTGCCGCAAACTCTGTGGTACCAAGATCCCAAACCAGTGCAAGGGGTCCTGAGCGGGCGCTGGCCCCCTAGGTTCAGTTGTTGTGGGCCGGATGGTTTCTGCGGGGCCTTTCCTGTGCCGTAGCTCTGCGAGAGAAGACAAAATTAGTATATCAGGACTCCTGAGGGGTTAAATGGCCACAATTCATTACAAAGGCCAACTAGATTATTTATATGGATACAAATGTAACCCCTTCACTACCAAGAAATTTGCAAGAGTGTCCTAGAACGTAATGTTTCAGTAGGGATTCATAGCACATTATTTAATGGAAGCAAAAACGAAAATTATGGTTGGACAGAAAAACGATTAAAAATCATTTCCCAAATAACAAAGTTACAGATAGGAAAAGAGGGTTTTAAATAAATATATATTGTATAATAATAATAATTACAAAATATATTTATTATGATATTTATATAGCGCCGTCAAATTCCCCAGCGCTTTACAATGGGTGGACAAACAGACATGTAACTGTAACCAGACAAGTTGGACACACAGTAACAGAGGGATTGAGGGCCTGCTCAGTGAGTTTACATGTTAGAGGGAGTGGGGTATAGTGACACAGTAACAGAGGGATTGAGGGCCTGCTCAGTGAGTTTACATGCTAGAGGGAGTGGGGGTATAGTGACACAGTAACAGAGGGATTGAGCGCCCTGCTCAGTGAGCTTACATGTTAGAGTGAGTGGGGTATAGTGACACAGTAACAGAGGGATTGAGGCCCTGCCCAGTGAGCTTACATGTTAGAGGGAGTGGGGTATAGTGAAAAAGTAACAGAGGGATGGAGGGCCCTGCTCAGTGAGTTTACATGTTAGAGGGAGTGGGGTATAGTGGCACAGTAACAGAGGGATTGAGGCCCTGCCCAGTGAGTTTACATGTTAGAGGGAGTGGGGTATAGTGACACAGTAACAGAGGGATTGAGGTCCTGTCCAGTGAGCTTACATGCTGAGTGGAGTGGGGGTATAGTGACAGGCTGCAAATAGTAGGGGATTGAGTGGCCCTGCTCAGTGAGTTTACATGTTAGAGGGAGTGGCAGTGACAGTAACAGAGGGATTGGAGGGGGCCTGCTCAGTGAGTTTACATGTTAGAGGGAGTGGGGTATAGTGACACAGTAAAAGAGGGATTGAGGGCCCTGCTCAGTGAGTTTGCATGTTAGAGGGAGTGGGGTATAGTGACACAGTAACAGAGGGATTGAGGGGCCTGCTCAGTGAGTTTACATGTTAGAGGGAGTGGGGTATAGTGACAAAGTAACAGAGGGATTGAGGGTCCTGCTCAGTGAGTTTACATGTTAGAGGGAGTGGGGTGTAGTGACACAGTAACAGAGGGATTGAGGGCCCTGCTCAGTGAGCTTTTCATAATGTTAGAGGGAGTAAAAGTACAGTGACAAAGTAACAGAGGGATTGAGGGGTCTGCTCAGTGTGTTTACATGTTAGGGGGAGTGGGGTATAGTGACACAGTAACAGAGGGATTGAGGGCCCTGCTCAGTGAGTTTACATGTTAGAGGGAGTGGGGTATAGTGACACAGTAACAGAGGGATTGAGGGCCTGCTCAGTGAGTTTACATGTTAGAGGGAGTGGGATATAGTGACAAAGTAACAGAGGGATTGAGGTCCTGCTCAGTGAGTTTACATGTTAGAGGGAGTGGGGTATAGTGACACAGTAACAGAGGGATTGAGGTCCTGCTCAGTGAGTTTACATGTTAGAGAGAGTGGGGTATAGTGACACAGTAACAGAGGGATTGAGGGCCTGCTCAGTGAGGTTACATGTTAGAGGGAGTGGGGTATAGTGACACAGTAACAGAGGGATTGACGGCCCTGCCCAGTGAGTTTACATGTTAGAGGGAGTGGGGTATAGTGACACAGTAACAGAGGGATTGAGGGCCCTGCTCAGTGAGTTTACATGTTAGAGGGAGTGGGGTATAGTGGACACAGTAACAGAGGGATTGAGGGCCTGCTCAGTGAGCTTCTACATGTTAGAGGGAGTGGGGTATAAGTGGACAGTAATGAGGGATTGAGGGCCTGCTCAGTGAGTTTTACATGTTAGAGGGAGTGGGGTGGCAGTGACAGTAACAGAGGGATTGAGGGCCTTGCTCAATGAGCTTACATGTTAGAGGGAGTGGGGTATAGTGACACAGTAACAGAGGGATTGAGGGCCTCGCTCAATGAGCTTACATGTTAGAGGGAGCGGGGTATAGTGACACAGTAACAGAGGGATTGAGGGCCTCGCTCAGTGAGTTTACATGCTAGAGGGAGTGGGGTATAGTGACACAGTAACAGAGGGATTGAGGGCCTGCTCAGTGAGCTTACATGTTAGAGGGAGTGGGGTATAGTGACACAGTAACAGTGGGATTGAGGGCCCTGCTCAGTGAGTTTACATGTTAGAGGGAGTGGGGTTTAGTGACACAGTAACAGAGGGATTGAGGGCCTGCTCAGTGAGCTTACATGTTAGAGGGAGTGGGGTATAGTGACACAGTAACAGAGGGATTGAGGGCCTGCTCAGTGAGTTTACATGTTAGAGGGAGTGGGGTATAGTGACACAGTAACAGAGGGATTGAGGGCCTGGTCAGTGAGTTTACATGTTAGAGGGAGTGGGGTATAGTGACACAGTAACAGAGGGATTGAGGGCCTGCTCAGTGAGTTTACATGTTAGAGGGAGTGGGGTATAGTGACACAGTAACAGAGGGATTGAGGGCCTGCTCAGTGAGTTTAAATGCTAGAGGGAGTGCGGTATAGTGACAGTAACAGAGGGATTGAGGGCTCTGCTCAGTGAGTTTACATATTAGAGGGAGTGGGGTATAGTGACACACAGGTACAGAGGGATTGATGTCCTGCTCAGTGAGTTTTCATGCTAGAGGGAGGGGGGTATAGTGACACA